TAAAATTGAAAATCCTAATTTTTTTAATTTTTTAAATAGAGCTTGATAAAATTTTCTGTCATTTCCTCTTCTTTTTATTTTTCTTATACCAAACAATATGTAACAAAAAAAATTATGCTTTGATTGTAAATTTTTAATTGTAACAATTAAGTTGTAGGACTAAATTATTATTATTATTATTATTTTGGTCACGGGCATAAAAGTTTCATGCCTAATACTTGATGTCTCGTCAAATCGAACAAATGCCACACAACTGGCTTTTTTACCAAAATACTACAAAGAGTAAAATTATATACTAATAGGTTGCACTTTTAAAAGTATTTACTAATATGCTACACTTAAAATTGTTCTTCAGGCGAATAATTTTTAAAGTCATTTATCTGCTGAACGACTTCTTCATTTAACAAATGTTTACGCCAAGAACGATTTCTAAAATTGTTCACGCCAAGAACGACTTGTGTGTAATTTGAAAGTCGTTCTTACCAAGAACGGTTTTAAGTGCAAATAAATGCCACACAAGCTTTCATGCACATTAAGGATAGATTATGAAGAAATTGTTCAGCAGATAAATGACTTTAAAAATTATTCACCTGAAGAACGATTTTAAATGTAGCATATTAGTAAATACTTTTAAAAGTATAGCATATTAGTATATAATTTTACTTTTTGTAGTATTTTGGTAAAAAAGCCTATCATGTGGCATTTGTTCGGTTTAACGAGAAATCAAGTATTAGGCATAGATCTTTTATGCATGTGACCAAAATAATAATAATAATAATAATAATAATAATAATAATAATAATAATAATATAGTCCTGCAACTTAATTGCTACAATTAAAAATTTACAATAAAAGCATTTTTTTTTGTTACATATTATTTGGTATGAGAAAAATAAAAAAGAGAGGAAATGACAAAAAATTGCATCAAGCTCTATTTAAAAAATTAAAAAAATTGGGATTTTCAAATTTTAATCCAATATAAACGTTGTAGCCTGGAGCATTATCAAGGATTCTTATTTTTGCATGTAAAATTGGCAGAGATTCGTATGTGAGAGTGAACAGGAAAAAGTAAAATCGTTCTTAGCGTGAACGATTTCTAAAATCGTTCATACCAAGGACGACTTGTGCGTAATTTTAAAATCGTTCTTGCAGAAATCGTTCACGCCAAGAACGACTTGTATGTAATTTTAAAATCGTTATTGAACGATTTTAAGTGTAACATATTAGTAAATAGTTTTAAAAGTGCAGTATTTTAGAATATAATTTTATTATTTATCGTATATCGGTAAAAAAAGCCGAATAATATTATATCTTTCGAGTGAAGCGAAAAAAAAAAAAAAAAAGTGAATGGACAAAAAGTATTCAACGGAATGAATGAACAAAAAGGGGGGGGACACACAAAGGAGGCCCACGAAAGGATTAAAGTGGGCCAGACATGCATACTAATGATATGAAAAAAATCTTATTAAAAGAGGCAAGATCTGCTTTTAAGAATTACCCAGTCCAACTTTTATAATAGGAAATGTCATTAATAATCTCTAAATTTTTTGTTTATTTATATTTAAAATCGCTCACAACTTTAACTCAGTCCTTTGTGAATATAAATACCACTTTTAATTTTTAGGGTTAATTAATCTGCAAGTCCTTATAGTTTCAACGAATTTTGAATCAGGTCCCTATAGTTTTTTTTCTTTTTATCAGGTCCTTATACTTTTACCTTTTTTTTAATTAGATCCTTGTATTTATTTTTCTTTTAATTAAGTCCTTATAATTTCACTAAATTTTTAATCAGGTCCATGCAGTTTTAATTTTTATTTATTAATTAAAGATAAGTTTAATTAAATAGATTAATACTGAAATATAAAATATTAATAATTAAATTAAATTAATAACTATGTAATAAAAAAGTAATAGAATTAATTAATTCAGGAAATTTTTTTAGAACAATTAATTTTTTTGCTGAAAAAATTAAAATCATTATAATAATTCAATATCTTTATAATATTATTGTTTATAAACTAATATTAAATAATATATACTATTTTATGTTTATATAATAGTACTATTAGAATTTATAAAATAAAGAATAAAAAATTCAGGGACTTAATTAAAAATAAGGTGAACTTATAAGGACTTGATAAAAAGAAAAATAAATAGAAGGACCTAATTAAAAACAGGTGAAAGTATAAGGACCTGATAAAAAGAAAAAAAACTATAAGGACTTTATTGAAAATTAATTAAAACTATAAGGAGCTGTGGATTAATTATCCCTAATTTTTAATATAACACATAATTAACCAATTTGGAGAGATTAAAAAATTTGAAAAATTATTTAATTATAATATATATTACACGATATTTCTGAAATATTATAACTTAAAAAATTAATTTGGAGAAAATAATAAATATGAATATTTTAAAATATTTTTTAGTTTTTTAATTTCTTTAAATTAATCAATTGTGTTTTATATTAAAAGCCATGATAGTATAACTAATATTATTTTGAAAAAAAAATTACTTATAATTGTTGCCGGAACGTTACGCGTTCCCGCTTTGCACTTTCCCCAAGACCTCAGCCATACTCTTGCTTAAACGCAAAAATCAATTTAATTTTGTATACAAAACCCTACACCAAAATAATTACCTATACGATTATAAGATGAAAGGAATTATAAGATTATGTATTGGTTGGAAGGCAAATGTACATTGGGGATGAAGTATCCCATAAAAATTGATAGAAGCACGGTGGGTGACTTCGAGGATGACGAGGGAACAGCATAATTATAGAAATCAATAAGGATGCATTTGCCATGCTTAATGAATCACACGGTTGGAAATAAAGTTAGTGATGTGTTGTTTTGTCGGTTTATTAGGTTGTGGAGGTTGGGGATTGGATTTAATTAGGTGGTGTCCTCATATTTTGTTGGGAGTGAGTTTATTAGGTTCTCATTATATTAATATGGTCTCGGATATCCCATGCTGGGAGCTTAGGTCTCGTTTGATAGGAAAGATTAAAAATTAGAGATTGAGACTGAAAAAATCCATTAAAAAAATGTTTAACATAAAAGATTACTTGTTATATAAACCCATACATGTGGGTTGGGGAATACTATAGAAGAAAGTGGTATTTCCCAATCCGACTTTTATGGGTTTGTCTAAACCCATGTAACAAGCGATTATTCATACTTAATACTATTTTAATAATTTTTTTCAATTGTAATTTTAATTTATATATCTCATTTTTAATGTTTTGTACTAAATAGGATCTTAGTTTATGCAATATTCATTTGGGGGGCAGTAAGGTAAGTAATTGGTTAACTCTTGAGTCCAAAAAAAAAAAAAACTGGTTAACTCAAATCAAGACTTTGCGTTCAGAATGCTTCTCCTCTCTCTTATCACTTATGGATCGTTTTTAATGAGATGAAATTCGATGGTGTGATTTTATCCTCTTATTATTAGGTTCGCGTGGCCCCAATGCAAACACGTTGCCGGACACGTGCTTCTCGCAGAAGGGTGTCCTGCCGAGTAATCGTTATTATTGTTATTTCTTCAAATGGGCAAGAACGGATTAAAACAAAATTAAAATGAGATTAGTGTTAAAAAAATAGATGCAGCCAAGGGTGGATAAGTTGCAAAATGGTTTAATCAAACGTCTCACTATCAGAATGACAAAGGTAAGGAGCTGGCCTAGCCCCCACATCTGCTACCTTTTGTAATCCCAAACTAAAAGAGTTGTTATTATCATCTCAGGTTGTTCTCTTATTTTATTTAGGCACCTTACCACAAATGGATGAAGTTGTATTAATTTGATTGGAAGTTTTGAGTTCAGTACTAAGAATGTTAGTGGTATTAATAGATATTTAGTAGCGCAGGATGTTAACCTCTTGGTAATAAGTTATACAGGGCAGGTAGATCAATTCGAATTAGAAAATTAAGTTTTAAAGTAAAATATTCTAATATCTCCTTTATATTTTTATCTTAATTATATAATTAAGCTCTTCTTTATTTGAAATATATATATCCAAATCTAAATTTTATTCTGTTAAAAGGTTCTAAAAAAATATATTTTAAAAAATTAAGATCCATGTTAGATAAATTTTACTTGCTAATATACAATTCATCTTAACATTTTTATCATCTTAGGACAGAAACTCAAATAATTTGGTTAATATAGACATAAAAATTTTTGATTAAAAATTTAATTAGTTTTTAGTAAAGTATTTGATTAAATTGTTTATAAATGTTTGTGGTAAAAACATATGTTAAAAAATTTTAGATTTTAAATTTAGATTATTTACATAATCCCTAAATCTCACATCGTTGGTCAGTAGAAATATGAGTTTGAAATATGATTTTATCTTTGCCCAAAAAATAAAGATTTTATCCATTTATGATTATATAAAAAATTATTTTTTTAAATATATAAATATTTAAATAATTCTTATATTAAGTAGGAGTATCTTTTTCAAAATAATAATTTCAGAGGAAAACTCAGCCACCAAACCAATAAATAGAAGTATAACCTCAAATATATAATTTCACCAAAAAAAAGAGAACCTCAAATATATAAAAAAAATATTTGTAAAATATCTATTTTGATTTCAAACGACATCTATAGACATTTTTAAAATAGAGGGAGTTTATGTAACGTAAATAAAACACAAAAATGGTTGGTGTATGCGCTCTAAATTTTATTTTATTTAGTCTTTGCTGCATGATGAAGAGAGTATTTGGATGAAATTAAAATTATGATTTTAAAAATATTTTTACGGTATACAAAATAAATATGTAAAAAATTTATCTCAATTTATAAAAAATTATTTTTTAGAAATATTTTTGATACTTCCCAATCACCCGAGGAAGAATAAAAAAACATTAAGATGAGGCCAGAAAGGCCAGATCGCACAGTCAACGTTTTCTGCCCTTTTTTTAATTATTAATTAACTCTTCCCCTTGTATATAAGGATGTTCAACCTCGCTTTTCTTCTTTGAAACTCGAAGGCCTTTGTCCCGATGAGCTTTGATGTCTGTCTTTGATCTCTGCATTTCACGGGTTTTGTTTCTGTGGCAAAAGTTGCTCAATCAGACTTCCCGAACTCGAGCTCAACGTGTCCAGGTAGATTCAGTGACCCCAAATATTGGTAATTGATCTTCTCTTGACCAAGTTTATGGATGACACGTAATCTGAGTTCTGAGGTTTGGATAAAGTTTGGTGTTTTCTCTTCAGTAAACCCACTTGTGAAATGCAGACAATCAAAGCAGTAGAAATAAGGACGGTGCTTTAACCACCTTAAGTACCAAAACAGATGCAGGAAATGGAGATTTTTTTTTTTTAAAAAGAAAAAAGATTAACTAAGAGTGATCGTAAAGTTGGCCTTTTCTTTTTTTCGGGTTTCGTTGTTGGAGGAGATTCAAGCACCGTCTTTCTCTTGGATTTCCTTTCTACTGCTTTCCTTTCATGAGTTTTCTGCATTTCACTTGTTCAGATCTTAGAATTTACTGAAGAGAAAACGTCTGACCTTCTTCTTTTTTTCAATAAGCATGTTGAGATGGCTGATCATGACCAACTTGGTCATATATTCTAGAACCTGTAGTAGTTTATAATGCAATGAATGATTAACTTTTCGTTGTTATGGTGGGTGATGGCAGATTGAAGAAATTCACTTAAAGGGAAGTTCAAATTTCACGTTGACGGAATTGGCTTAGGGATAAAATGGGTTGCAGACCCTCGAAGGAAGCGAAAAACAATCTTAGACCTAGCCAAGAAGAATTTTCTCGCCTTGCTTCAGAAACACCATGTGGGTCAAGAAAACTTTAATATTTTATACTGTTAATTTTTGCTTGTACCATTCTATGGATTAATATGATTCTTTATGATGATTGGAAATATTTTGGTATGTTGGCTGATCTTGATGTTGTGGACCAGTAGTTTGTGTTCGACAATTCAGGAGGAATAACATGAGCAACACTTAGATTGTTTGGACTGTAGCCCTCTGATATATTTGAAGTGTCCATGTGTAATTGATGATGTCACGTAATGTTGTCCTCTTTCTTTAGAGTGTTAGTGATTCATGGCTTATTGATACAAATGCCAGCACCTTTATGTATTAGCTAGTGTTCCCCCTCCCCCCACATATTAGTGTTTTGGTATAATGGGAAATAGTTTATGGTGTTCAAGAATCTTAATATGTGATATCATATCAAAACTGATAATCATCTCTGTAAAACAAAGGCTGATTTGAAATTATTTTATGTTTGACAGTTACTATAAGTGACGTGGAATCCTTGTATGAGTTATACAGAAAATTAAGCGCTTCTGTTGTCAAAGACGGTTATATTCGGAAGGTAATTTTTGAATTTCAGTCTCATCAATGTTCATTTTGACTTTTGACTTTTCATTGGACAGGAACAGGGCAGTGCCAATATATCCGTGCTTCTTATCTGTTAATGTTGCAAATAACAATGACCTGAGCAACTAGATTTACAGTTCAAAATAATGACATATTTCCATTATGGGGGCATACAGGAAGATCTTCACTTCGCCCTTTTCAGAAGCAGCGACAAGCGAAATCTTTTTGTGGACAGAGTATGTGAATTTACTTCCACCATGTTATATTTAAATAGGCTCCTGGAAGAAATAGATGTTAATCTGCATTGCCAATCTTGTTTCCAAAAGTCATTGCTAATACTTAAATAAGGTTAAAAGTTACAAATAAAGTGTTCTCTGTCTTGCTAGGAGAAGTAAATGCTTTATGAGAATATGTAATTATTATTTCTTTTATAATGCAACAGCATAAATGTTATTTGGGAATTAAGGTTTGTAACGTGAGGAAATTGGAGGTAACTTCAGATTTAATACAGCATTTTAGACTTCACCTTATGTTTGCTTAGTGGGCCCTGGGATAATGTGCTTGCCTTACTTTTTTGTCCACATATTCTCTGTCTAATTCTTTAATTCGGTCAGCTTATGTATTTTCTCTTAATATGCATCAAGTCAGTGGAAGTTGTTATATGTTGATTATTGAAATATTGAATTGACCTTTAGGTTTAGATTTTCAGATTTTGTCACTTTCCACGTTTTATTTCTACCAGTTATGCATCAAAGTTTGTGGTTGTATTTTCAACAAATATAACTTGAGTATAGTGCTGTGCTCTCATCATTGCACTGGACATTGGATTGACTTTATAAGCGTATATCCCTGCCAGAAGCCATATGGTTGGGCTAACCGCAAAACCATCTTGATAAAAGCCATGCATGTTCATTGAAGAATCTTTTTTTAGGTTGAAGCAATAAATCAAAGTTGTGCAATTGCAACGCTAACTCAGCTGGTACGATGATTAGCTTCACTCTTTCTTATGAGATATTGACTTTGTGCAGATGTTTGATCTTTTTGATGTTGATCGCAATGGTCAAATTGAATTTTCAGAATTTGTTCGATCCTTGAGTGTCTTTCACCCAAAAACTCCGGCAGCAGTCAAGATAAATTGTAAGTAGTTAATACAAAAAAGGTGTAAAGTGTCTAGAAAGTCATGATGCTGGGGCGGTATTGACCGTGCCATGTTTAATCATATTTCAGTGAAAAATACGACAGAAGGCATCATTCATATTCATATTGGTGTTCCAACCACATTTATGACTATGTCATTACTCAAGTTTGCAAAATTTTTTTCACAGATGCATTTAAATTATATGATCTGAGGCGCACTGGCTACATTGAGCGTGAAGAGGTACCTTTCTTTTTTGGAGTTACCGTTTGACTGCAAATTGATGTAGGTCTTGCATATGGAATCTTATATGAAATATAAGAAAGTACTGATAAACATACTGGGGACAGAACTAGGAACATAGTTATAACATTAAATTGCAACTTGACCATTTGGCAGATTGCTCCATAAGCCAAGCGACCTACACATTTGCTTCTTTGTAGATAGATATGCTTTATTTTTGCACAAATCTCATGAGACACGCGTTGGTCATCGTGCTTTTCTTGCCTGAAAATTTGTCTCTGTATTGTTGTGTAGGGCAAAATGGCTTTACTTCTGTTGGCCAAAATAAAAAATGACTATTCCGGCCTTATGCCAGATTACCAACATCTAAAGAGGTTTTATATGTTGGTTCTTACAAGATCCTTCCCATGTCTAGATTCTGTTTCTTAAAAATCCGGTGATATGTTAGCTCGTTCTGATTTCTTGGCGAGATATGAGTAGAACTGGTAGCCAACTCTTAATAAGGTTGAATATGTGACTTACGAGTAGGAAGCTAGCTAAACCCCGTAGTTCTGTTGCTTATGTTCTGGATTTTGATGTCATTTGGACATAGTGTCCACAAAATGGTTTACATGGACAAAATTATTATCTAGGGTTTGTTTTTTTTTGGCTGATTGTTATCACAGTTGTGAAGGAAAACATTAGGAGAACTACATCGAAGAGATGTCTTGTTTCTATATAATTTTTTGGTTTTATTTTGTTGTGAAATTTTGTGATACTCTGAACACACCAATTTGGTCTTATTTGATAAACTTTGAAAACTTGTTCTCATGAATACTCTTACAGTTGAAGGAGATGGTGCTGGCAATCTTGACTGAGTCTGATCTGAAACTCTCTAATGATGCGGTTGAAACAATCGTGGACAAGGTTTGTGTTGTCCTTCAAACTCAAATTATTAGACTAAAAATCCTTGGCATAAGGTACTCACATCAGTTGTACTGGTACTTGAGTCATTGACAGACATTTGAAGCAGCAGACACAAAAGGCGATGGGAAAATTGATCCAGAAGAATGGAAACAATATGTGGAAGACAACCCATCATTACTGAAGAACATGACTCTACCTTATCTGATGTATGTTCGAGAATCTATGGGAAGAGACATGCCTTTTTGCCCTTTTGTTGTATACGGCTCTGAATTGCTTTCGGTGAAAGTGTTTTCCTGCAATATCTACGAGTTGCCAGTATTATTAACATAGGCATGAGTTAGACTTTATTATTAATGATAAAGAGAATGCGAAAACTTCATCACACAACATAGATATGGTCAATAATGATACAGAGAAAGTGAAAACTTAATTAGCAAATTATTTGTTGCTCTTTATGATGGAAAAATTTTATGTCCATTTTGATCCGATATAGCACTGATCTAACTAACTAGTTAATTTCAGGGACGTGACTGTTGCATTTCCCAGTTTTTTGATGAACTCAGAAACTGAAGAATCACAGTTGTAGCTCCGACATGTAATGCTTACCAGAATTGGCATTCCTTGTGGCTTCAGTTGCTGAGATATGAAAAGGTGGCAAAAACGCAGCAACTTTCTCAGAGGCAAGAAAAGTAGACAGCTCGCAAATATTTGACTCTTTTTAATCTCTGTGTTAGTGTATTTGAATGTAATTTGCTGGTCAAAAAAGTGTATTTGAATGTAATATTTCTGAAAGATGATATGAAGCATGAGAGCTAAAAAGGATTGACAAATTCAAGTGAAAAGTTGGCCCAATCCTTAGATGGACTCTGTATTGTCCTTATGTTTCACAGAATATACAATAATAAATAAATAATAATCAAAAGTCAGCATTAGGGCTGATCAATTGGAGGAAGAGATGAAGGCAAAGAAAAGAAAGGTCAGTTCCCCATGACAAATGGGCTATATAAATATATATATATATTTATATTATGGTAGAGGAAAGAACTTAGTTGTATGAGTAATGGGCCTTAACCTATTTTTGGACAAAGTAATGGGCCCTAACAATATTGTTTTTTTTCATCCTAAAACAGTATTGTTTAATTTTTTTGGTTATGTATTAGAAACAATCCACTGTTGGATGCGAAATATAAACATCTCTTTTGATGTGTATTTGAATCTTGATTTGCTATGGTGTGAAGGGTTAACCTCTTCCATTAGATTCAAAACCTGTTGATATCTTAAACCCTTTCAAAATAATGTTCATTGAAATTATGAGCCTTATTTTGATCAATAGCCATATGTCAACCAGGCAGCATTTTCATCTTTTCATGTAACGATAAAAGGTTTAAAGCTCATTTGGTAGCGGGGAATGAAAAGAGAGGAAAAAGAAAAGAAGGGGAGCCATTTTGGTTTTTTTCCTTTTTTTTTGGGGGTGGGTTGTGTTTACCAGAATTTTGGTGGGATGAGTTATTTCATTGTTTCACTGGTTCCAATTCCTAAAAATCATTTTTCATCCTCTCTGAACAGGCATTTATGTTTTTTTTTTTGTCTCTATTTTCTAATTTCTATCATATCAGGTATCGTACGGTAAAATATTTTCTGGCATAAATACTAAACATCATCTTCCCATATTTTGTTTTATTTTATCAAAATATTTTCTGTGAACCAAACCCAACGGAAGCTGAAAGATTCTACGAATTGTCAATATCTGGATCCATTTCATAATGTGCAAGACAAAAAACTTTAGAAGTTTCTTAAATCCACCTAATAATTAAAAGTCGAATTTTTACAAAAGCCCTTTTCATATGACGAGGCAAACAACGTTTTCTCCCCTCACAATGTTGCTTCCCCCACCCGCCCTTATTAATATTAGGGGAAATTGCAAAAAAAGACATTGGAATTGTAAAAACGTAGATAGGGACCCTTGACAACTTCACTTTGGGTTTTGACAAGAATAATATGCCCTGAAGTTGTCAAAACCCAAAGTGAAGTTGTCAAGGTCTCTATCTGCGTTTTTGCAATTCCAAGGTCTTTTTTTGTAATTTTCCCTTAATATTATGTGATCCTTTTTCAAAAAAAAAAAAAAAAGGAGACAAGGTAACAACGTCGGTGCCTCGGTGGCCCCCTGAGAGGTGGCCACGCAAATTGATTGGATGACAACGGTCCATTTGCGTGTCACTCGCTGACTGGACCATCACTTCCGATATTTTCAAGTCTTTTTTTTAATAAGATTTTCCACTTCTCTCTGTGAACTGAAGCTTGGAGGCCACTCCGGCTCGTGAGTCATAACGGCATCTTCGTACGAAATGAAGATGTCACGAAGCTTCCTTTTTTTTAAAAAAAATAAAAAATAAGAATATCGACCCTCGAAAGGGTTACTTCTTCCTTGTAAGACGCGCCTCTGTGAACAAGTTGCTGCTTGCTTCGTCATTGCCACAAACGCAAAAACGGGATTAGGTGACCCATTAATTTAATTGTAAAGATTTGATTTTTCGGGAAGCGGTTTTGGGATTGGCGTTCTACGTATGCATATAGAGCTAGGCGGCTACACGCGTCTATACCGTCTTCCGTATTTGTGCTTCTCAGTCAGAGTCAAATGGGATTTTTTTCCTTCTTTCACGATCTTTGAATGAGAATTCTACCTTCAAAACCTTTGGCTTCGTTCCAATCTGTACCAAATATACAAAACCCATTTCTGTTTGTTTTGCTATAATTGGTGATCAGCCTAGCCTGAAGCTTTCCATTTTCTTGGCATCAATTTCGTCTGGTAAATTTCTTCTTTCTTCGGCCGTGGAGGGTAAGAGTCTGCTCTCTTCTCCTCTCTGCGTTTCCGTGTGTTGTTCGATTCCTGATCTAATTGCGCAAGAAGTCCCTCTAGTTATTTTGGGGTTTCTTTTGGGGAAGAAATGAGGAATTAGGTCTTGGGAGTCTGAATATCTATTCCCCCCGGCCCCCCAAAAAAAAAAAATTCATTTATATCGTTGGAAGTTTCTTCTGGGTCGTGGTGATTATCACCCAGCGTCCCTAATCTTACAAACATGGCTGTATTATTGTGTAACTTATTGTGAATTTGAGGTTCAGGCTTAAATCACAGCCTCAACTTCGTTTGTTCAATCCTCTTGTTCATCACCTGTGAAAATGTCGTCCACTGGTGTGGCTGCTCTTAGTCCGGTTCGCATTGAGCTGTTGGCTCCAAATGTATTCCGTTGCCCATCACACTTGTCCCTGGATGATTCCATTTATATTTTTCTCTGTTTCTCGGGATCAGTGACTCCCATGCGTGTTCTGGAGTGTGATACTATTGAGTCTGTAAAACTCAAAATCCAAAATTGTAATGGCTTTTTAAAAAGGAAGCAAAAATTGGTCTGTGGTGGCCGGGAACTGGCCCGGAGTGATTCTTTACTCCGGGACTATGGGGTAACAGATGGAAATTTTCTGCATTTGGTCGTCAACTTGTCGGATCTTCGGGCGATCAGTGTGAAAACTTCTTGCGGCAAGGAATTTACATTTCATGTGGAACGAGGTAGGGATGTCGGGTATGTGAAGCAACTGATTGCCAAGAGGGAGAAACAGTTCTCTGATCCTGAACAGCAAGAAGTTCTGTGTAATGGGGAGCAGCTTGAGGACGAGAGGCTTATTGACGATATCTTTCTCAAACATAATGATGCAGTGTTGCGCCTGGTGATAAAAAAATCTGCCAAATTTCAGGCAAAGCCCCTTGAGAAGAATATTGAGTTGTCTGTTGTGGCAACAGGGTTGAGTGATAGGAAAAATTATGACACTGTTAGAAGCAGTAACAGATATGATGTTGATGAAGAAGCTTCCAGGGATATTGTGCTAAGAAAAACTCCTGATAAACATGTTCTTTTGGATCCAGTTATCCTTAACCCTAAGGTTGAATTAGCTTCAGTGGTTTGTGATATGATAAACTCAACATATGATGGCATAGAAAAAGGAAATTATCCAGTCAGATCTGCTGAGGGTACCGGAGGGGCTTACTTTATGATGGATTCAACGGGGCAGAAGTACGTATCTGTTTTTAAGCCTAGGGATGAAGAGCCTATGGCTGTGAATAACCCTCGGGGTTTGCCTGTGTCATTGGATGGGGAAGGCTTAAAAAAGGGTACAAGGGTTGGTCAAGGAGCATTCCGGGAAGTTGCAGCTTACATCCTGGATCATCCAATTAGTGGGCGTCGCTTGTTTTTTGGTGATAAGAAGGGCTTTGCTGGGGTTCCCCCCACAGTTCTAGTTAAGTGCCTCCATGATGGATTTAACAATCATGGGGACCTGACTGCTAAGATTGGCTCCTTGCAGATGTTCATGGAGAATAATGGAAGTTGCGAGGATATGGGCCCGGGTGCTTTCCCAGTTAAAGAAGTGCACAAAATTTCCGTGCTGGATATAAGGCTGGCAAATGCAGACAGGCATGCTGGGAATATTTTGATTGGTGCTGAAGGAGAAAATGACGGGGCTGAATTGATTCCAATTGATCACGGATACTGCTTGCCTACAAGTGTAAGTACATTATTTCATGCTTTATTTTTGGGTTTTAATGCATGTGGTGTTTATTTATCTGAAACCACCCCCCCCCCGGGGGGCCAAAAAAAAAAAAACACTGTAAGGTGGAAACTTCTTCATTCTTCCATTCTGGGTCATGGACTTTGTTTTTATGGCCAAATGCTGGATTATGGACTAGTTTTACTTTCCAGAATCCAGAATCCAGAATCCAGAATCCTATTGTTTCCAGCCTTACATGACATGTTAGTTCAATTTCTATCGTAACTTGGAGGGGACACGAGGGGTGGTTAGATCGATGTAAACTTCATTTTCTGCTCAAGAAATAGATACCTTAGTCTGATTTCTATTGTTATTTTCCTAAAACATTTATGACAGCCAGATTCCCATTTGCATGTTCTAAACCTTTTCATTAATATTCCCATGTTCTTTAGACAAAAGTTGGAACTTTGGAAAGGTCCACCAAACCCATATGATTCATTGGCTTTTCCAAGTCCTGTTTGAACTAACATATATGACATGTTTACCATTTCTACAGTTTGAAGATTGCACCTTTGAATGGCTTTATTGGCCCCAAGCTCGCCAGCCATACTCCCCAGAGACTATTGACTACATAAAGTCACTGGATGCTGAAGAAGATATCGCTCTTTTGAAGTTTCACGGATGGGACCTCCCCATTGAATGTGCTCGAACTCTTCGAATCTCGACCATGCTCCTGAAAAAAGGGGTGGAGAGAGGGCTGACACCCTTTGAAATTGGAAGTCTGATGTGCAGAAAATCCTTGAACAAGGAATCAGTGATCGAGGAGATCGTGCAAGCCGCGCACGATTCGGTTCTACCTGGAATGAGCGAAGCAACGCTGCTTGATACTGTTTCCCATATCATGGATCAGCGCCTTGATGAGATTTCCAGTTCACTCTCTTGATTGTAGTTAAATCATGTATCAGGCACAGGGTTCGTACACAAGTTTATTCTGTACATGTGGTTTAGTACATACGTATTACTCATATGATTTGATTTTTTTTAGGTCATGACAACATTCTTTCATCGCAATGACTTTCTAGGTCTGGAATCTTTTATTTCCCACATTTCACATATATCTTCAAGTTTGTGTGTTTTTTATTTCTTTCCCAACCTTGAATTCCAGAGATGCCTGAGGAATCCTTTACGTTTGATATTTGTAGTTCAATATGATTATGTTAAAAAAATTCCCGTGCGACTCTTCGTGTTAGGACTTGAAACTCCAAGGTTGGGAGAAAAGTTGCAGTGTTGTGTTGACAGATGGATGAGGCAATTACATCACAAAATCGGCAAATTTCTTTCTGTTGTGTACCAAAATGCCCACGGATGCACTGTAGCAACTTAAAAAAATAGTAAAGAAGTAACAATAGTGAGTTTTTAATTATACATTCACCACCAAGTTATTGTTTTTCTGAAGAAAATATGGAAGTAAACATTTTCTATAGCTTTTTAATTTTGCTCGAGCCCTGAACATTTTTTTTGTAGTTTACTATTGCAATATTTTACTCTAACCAAATTCTTACGAAATGTTTTTTAATTGAGAACATAGCGACAACAAATGCCGAAGGCTGCACAAATTTTTTATGCAAAAATGCTCTTTCAGAGTGCGGGAACAAGGTTGGCAAAATGTAAGACTCTTTCCTTCTAATCAAGGAACAAAAATCGGATTGGATACTAAACTAGCTGAAATAGTGGTTCAAGGGTCAGTTGGTCGGACCGGTATCAATCCGCAGTCCAACTGATCATATTAAAATAATATAATTTAATTTAAAAATAATAAAGTATAACAACATTAACAATCACTAATAACAAAATATAAAAAAAATATAATAATAATTTGATTGTAACAATCACAAAGTATAACAACATTGAGAATTTTGATCTTTATGATTCATCATTAATTAAAATTAATAATCATTGATACTAAAATTATCATTAAAATTCATTTAAATCTATAGGGGTTGATATATTAGAAGATGCATAAGAAAAAATAGGACTAATAACAACCTAATCATACAAATCGGTTTATTACCGATTCACACCGGTTTGACCGGTTTTTTTACCAGTTCAACTTCCTCCTGGTTTAGTATCCAAACCGAACCGATCCACTCACTGGTTCACCAATTTACCAGTTGAACTAGGTGGTCCGAATCGATTTTTTGTTCACTGCTTTTAATAGATACCATTTTGCTTTCTTATTAAAAAAAAAAGAAGGGGGTGCAAGAAGCAGGACTATTGCTTGTAACATGTCACTATTGGCAAGAGGCTACTAACGATGGGTAGAATGGAAGTTAAAAGACCCATAGCTCTTATTACTAAGAAATCAACCCCTTATGGCGAAATAAGAAAAGTCAATCTCTAAAATCAAGACTTTTTAAGGACTAATATTTTTACGGAGTAACCTTCCATGCTCTGAAAAGTTACCATATAATCTTTTCAATGTCGTAAAGGTGTTTTAAATTTATTGCTGCCTCTAAATAAAAATCTTTGTAACATCCAGAAAAAACAAAAAATTTTGAAAAGTATGAGTAGTAATTGAAGACATTATTATAATTGATTTTTATAATTTTTTTTTAAAGAGTTACAATCTTTGAAAATTTTAACTGTAATTAACATAAACCATGGGTCTTTTAACTGTTATTTTTCATTAAATGAGACTGGAGAACGAGGCAACTTGCTTGGCTGCCAGCCCCTTTGCAGTTTTGACTTCTCCGCCTTCCAGAAACCATGCATGCACCTGGGACTCTGAACAAAACTGAGACTATAATATTATTAAACTTATTATTCGGGGACAATTTGTCAGGTCAACGTATGTGCTGGAAACAGCCTCAAGAAAGCAGCCAGGCAATTACGGTACGGATGAAAATTGCAAAATAGGTTTTTCCATGAAGCGCGAGTTTTAAACAAGTTCAAGCACCAATTCAAACAACACATTCAAACCTCCTTGGACGGTTAGTGAACTACTTTTAGTTTTTTCAATAATCAGATGTAGACTTTTTTTTTTTTTTGGCCTGGAAAGAAGCAACTTGCTGCAAATAACTTTCCCTCTTGTATATGAGCACAAGTATCTTTGGATCCACCATAACACAAGCATAATCCCTATGTACAAAGACAGAAAGTAACTCCATCTATAACAACAGCAACATCTATATAGGACTTATACAATAGCTAATTAGCCATAATTTTCTCAACTACAAACAAATACAAAAAAGCTTGAAGGTTCATACCATGTCTTCCTTCTTCTCAGCCATTGAGCAACTGATGATCTCTGTTTTGCAGCTCCGCCAGGGTCTAACATAATCCAGAGGAAGACCAACAGGCCACGCAACTCTATTCTCCATGGGACTTGATTGAGTGTTTAGGCATTAGGTTCTCTCAGAAAAAATAATGACACGTGGAAAAACTTGTTTAACAGACTCAACATATATAGTGCTAAATTGTTATAAGATATCCACTTGTCACGTTTTTATTGGAGAACCTCATAGTAAACATGTGAAAATTGAACCAAAGTTTTGTCCTTCGCTGTGTTTATCAAATTTCATTCTTCAATTGTGAATGTTTCCCCTGTAAAACTCTGGTTTGTCTTCAAATGGCGACAACGTCAATCTCAGCCATGTCAAGAGTCGCTATCACTTGCTGGGTTTCTTCATCTTTCGCTTCAACCTTGCATTAGATTATAGACACCAATAAATACAGTATCCACATGGAAGATACCGAGAACTTAAAGAAGCAGATCATGAGGTAGTATTTGAGGTTATACTGCCTACCAATTACCATGCAGAGTTGTGAAACTAAACTACATATAAATACCTCTTAATGGAGCGGTCATTGAAACCAAATACGCCTTTCATTAATGAGTTTATATCCACAGACTGCTCCTTCATAACCATATCATGGTACATTTTGCTGCCAATTTCAGTAATTTGTTCTTCCACTTCTTCAAGAGGTTGATCTATATTGAGCTTAAGTTCCCCTTTCTTGATGACAGTAACACCAAATCCATTTGCTTTGGCTTCTCGGAAAGCATCCTGTGATATGTAATTACAGCTCAGAAAGAATTTCAAAATAAAAATACCTCGAAGAAAAATGAGAAAAGCTGGTTAGACATGAGAGATATCCTTATGGACCAAAGAAATGAAAGCTGAAACTTCTAAGATCAGGAGACATTATAAGATGCACTAAAAATATCACATTGCGAAACAGAAGGACAATAAACTAAAAAACAGTTAAGAGAACTATGGCTTCCTCTATCCAAATCTGCAATAATTTCCAGCGGACAAATGGAAAAAATGGATATATGGAAACCTCAGCATTAGTATGAAAGTTAAATATAACATGATATATGGAAACGGGAAACCTGAACACTAGTATGAACAAACTCAAATATAATACTTTTGGGGGTTGCGCAACAACGAAGGCCTGGCCATTTCCAAGCATATCCATATGAGCCTGAATGATGTAACAAAGACTTTTACAGTCACCAGCATCTTGGAAAGCAATCACATGAAGTGGCTTAGGTTCGACTTCAAGATCATTAGCCATCTCTAAAGAATAAAAACCTACTCTCTGTTCTCCATCATCAACTGTATACAATTCGATGCACTGGAATAAAATTTAAAAAAAAAAAATTAATGAAATGACATTCAAAAACTTGAACAGGAGGATACGCCAGTCAATTACCTTAAAATACAAGATACATACCAGTACATAAGGAAGATCTAACCACCATAGGTAATCTTCTTCTCTTTCGTCTGCATATTCACGATATTTGCTCACCACAGCTTGTGGTCCAAACAATTCCATTTCTCTTTTAACTTTGTTGAGCTTCTTTTCTAAAATACTTCTGTTCCTATCAGGTATCCTGTTCATCAATTCAGCAGCCTCATCTATTTCTTTTTCGGTAATCCATCGATCCAAGTCCTTCCCAATGTCTTTCATTGCTGATTTAACTTCTGGATCTGTCTCAGCATTGTAAGATTCCAAAAACCCTTGGGACCATTTCTTTGTGTGCTGCCAATATTCCTTCCCTGATTTTTTGCCAGCTTTGACAGAACCATCACTCCCTTCAACAACAGTCTTTGAATTTATCTGATTCTTATCGTGAACTTTCATTAAATCCCTGGTTGCTACGTAGTCTCTAACGTTTTCATGAGAAGATACAGCAGCTGAATTTTCAGCAAAGCCATTATCATCATTCTTCACGGGCTTCATCTTGCTGGTGGAACTTTTCTTTCTTTGTTCGAGAAAGTCATTGAGGAAGTCAGGAATTTTCTCAATTGGTGGCCCCTTCCAGCGTGGTATGATTTTCTCTGGTGGATCATATAAACTAATGCCATCTAGAGGACAAATAATTAAAAAAGAAAAAAAGAAAAAGAGAACCATTAGCAAGGTGCTTCAAATTAATAAAAGAAAATGCTGGCTAATAAATCTTAAAAAATTGATTATGCAAAAATAAGCCTATAAGAAATCAAAGAGCATTAATTGCTACTTTCCAGTTTATGCACTAGAACTGGCAGCAACAAAAAGGATGTTGGTTACTCAGAAATCAAAAGGTTCATTAGATTCTAAATAAAAATTCTCATGGAAAACTAGCTACTACCTGCTCCATAATCAAGATTTTCAATATTTGAATGAAGCCATTCGTGGAGGTAAGAAAGCTTTGTATTTTCTTTCTCCACCTTTTTCTCAAGACCTCTGAAAAATGCTTCTTTATCTTTATCATTTATCAAATAAAATGGGTCACGCCCAGCCAGTTCATTATCACGGACTTTAAAGACAATGTCTCTAAGATGCTCATTTTGCATCCAATCAAATTCTCCACCATCTTCAAGCGGTTCCATCTCAGTAGTTATATCTAAAGGTTGATCAACCCTCTCTTTTGCGGCCACATAGTTATCTCTAAATCCAGCTCTGATTTTCTTAATTATGGGCTCAACTTCATCAAAGTTCTTCTCCAACCAACTTTCTGTCTTTGCTGATAGATTTGTCTCCGTATTGACACCATTAACTTCACGGTCTAAAGAGGTCTCAGAATCCTGTGGATCTCCCACTTCATGTTCAACCTCAGAATCTTTGATGTAGTCATTTTTCATATATCAAACTCCTTATCCTTCTGATTAGAATCTTCACCAGCATTTATGGAAGGCGTTAAATCTGACATCCCAACTACAGCACTATTTCTGGGCACTCCAGTATTCATCTCCAACAGTTGGGTTTCTTGACTCCTAGAATCATTATCAGTTGGAGATCTCAAATCATCCATATTATCATTAATGATTTGCATTCTGGACTCTCTTCTAACCTCTTGTTTGTCATCTTTCTTTGAAAGGTATGCCTGAGCTTCTCTCACTGATCTTATGACCAGTGGTTTATCGTTTGTAAAACTTTCTTTTGTCATACACGAATCATCAATGGTTGTATCTGGGAGCTGGCTGACTTCCTCATCCTTTGGCTGCACGGTACTTGAGAAAGTTCTGTTTCCTGTTTATTGGGTTCTTTATCATTCGAATCCGCTACATTTGAAGCTTCCAGCTTAAATCTATCTGCAAGAACTACGTCATGCAAAAATGAACTCTCCAATTTTTCCGTAACATCTATGCATGGTGTTTGCAGAGTTGCATCTATATCCACTGTTTTACCCACAACATCATTTTGATGCTTACTTGAACTAGTATCATCTTCAGTGAGCTTATGGACAGCATCCACCTCATTAGAAGTTTCCCCATTGAGCAAGTCATCCATCTCCCTACTGGTGCTACCTAAGGACTGAATTTTTCCTTCAATTTCCCGAGCCTTCCTAGCCATATCTCTGATTTCTTGAACTTTAGAGGTCATCTCATCAGATGTGGCTGTCGTTTTAAAGGATGAATTCCCAACTACAATTTTATCAGCAGAGGCTTTGGCTTTCATGATGTTATTCTTGAGCTTTTCCTTATCTAACTTGGGCTTTTCAATGTGTAACATTGATGGCTCTGAAGCTTCTGAAATAACCTCCACAGTGCCCTTCAACATCTGTTTCTCCTGTCTTGACTTTATTTTTCTCCTCATCATTTCTTTCTCCATTTCTGTGTATTGAGTTTCCTTGTTTTTGAAAGTAAATAGTTCTTTCAGTGCCCACATGAAAACAAAAACACACAACACTCTGCTACCAACTCGTGAAAGCTTGGGGAGCAAGTCCGGTTGACTGGCAAAACCTTGGATGGTGTTGACGAAACCAGTCTCCTCGCCTTGAACCACAAACTTAGCTACAGAACTATTTTTTGGTATGACATTATTATCATTCTCCATCTCCTTAGCCAATCTTTTGGCAGACAATATTTTGTAATTTACATCTGGAAAGTCCTCAATTTCTTCTGGCCGAACTTGTCTTCTCCTTAATATTTCTCCTTCATCAACTGACACCCGTTTAACATTCCCTGAAGAATCCTGATAAACTGTAAATATTGGATAAGACCCTATGCCCCAATTCTCAACATCCTTCTTGTACTGATCTACCCAATTCTCCAATTTATCCATCAAGACAGATTCGCCCAAAAGTTTCGATTTTTCTTTTTCTACCATAACGTTTTCAATCCCATTGTGATCAGACACTCCCTTAGCAACTTCTTTTTCTTCCATTCCATTATTATTCGAGTTCTCCTCTAAACTGCCTATATCACTAAATCTATCAGATTTTGGGTCAGTGAGATTCTCATTTAGACGCACCTGCTGGTCCTTAAGGAGCTTCTTCCTCAGCGAGTTGCGGCGTTTGGTGGGTCGGCCGAAGTGCGCCCAAGTCTGAAAATTTCTGCTGCTAGAAATGGATGCATAGATTGGAAATGCGTTTCTGTGAAATCTAGAGCTGGTTATTTTGGGCTTAAGTGAAAATTTGCCTTTCAAATCTTTCATGCCATAGAAAACTGGGATTCCAGATAGAGTTGGTAAGTTATTTTGGATCGAAACATTAAGAATTCTCATCGAAGAATATAGAGAAGCTATAACGAGAGAACAGTCAAGCTATGGAACTATGGCACAATCGCTTGCTTGAGTGTGAATTGAATCGCGTGACATGGAGCGATAGGCGAGAATGGTTTTGCAGAAACCTCAGAGTCGAAGGTCTAAAACCTCAGAAACGTAACATCAGCTTTTTGGCTAACATTCAGGTCGCCCGTCGTCCTCCTGGCCGAGGGGGGAAAAGCCGGTACGTCGTCGTTGTTGCCTCGAGGCTCAGCCTTGGGTTAACTCTTGTTTAAGAGGTGCTCGGATGAAAATAAAAATATTGATTTACAAAAAAAATATTTTTTGGTAATCCAAACAACTTTTTAATCAATTTTTCGTTTGATGAAAATCATTTTTATGAAAAAAATGGCCAGAAAATTTTTTGGCATAGTACTTCACAAAAAGTAGAATGGTAAAAATATTTTAAAATCGAAACGCTCCCCAATCATGACGTCGAGAATTATTTTCAAACTGATTTTGCAAAACTGATTGTTTTAAACTGAGTTTTCCCGAACTCATTTTTTCAGGAATAGCCAAACATGCAAATAAACACTAGTAACTTCTGGGGCCAAGGGTTAAGGAAAGCTTCTCCACGAATTTCGCGTATGATTACAGGATGACGGATATAAATCCAAAAGAGATGAGGAATATATCATAGATGCATTATCTTTCAGGTTTATAAAACCTTCATCATCTGCTGTAACTCGATACTTTTCTTCAGAAGCACAAAACTTAAGGTAGAACTTTTACGCGTTTGTTATCAGATTCTCCAATAAGAACACAAGAAGTGAGTCTTCTTCCTCCTAATTTCATCGCTGCATAATGCGGAGTGAAAAGTTATTTTACATGTCATGGGGTTATTTGAGAATCTGATAGCAAGCACATGGGAAATTTTTCCTGAGTGTAATTCATTCCAAAATTATCTACAAATAGCAATCACATCACTCCTTAATCTCTCCATTTAACTACAGAGATTGGGTATGCACACTCCGCCTTCAGGATTTTGCTGTTCTTTCCAGATCCTTCCAGTGACTCGTAGCTTCAACTCTTTCCTGTCCCCACCTGAGAAGAAAAGTGCCATGTTTCTGTACACAATGAGGCCATCATGGCTGTCTCTAACTTTCTTATGGCTGTCTCTTATGCTTCTTGGGCTGCCCTCCCATATTTGTTTACGTCCATTCCCTCCTATCTCCAGACTGTAGCTGTAGCTCCGAGCTTCTCTTTCGTCGCCCATGAACCGGAGAAATGCCATGTAAACAGGAGCCATACCAAGCTGAAAGGCTTCAAAATGGAGACAGAAGTACTGACCAAAACAGTGGAAGACCTGCCAGAGTAACAGAGACAACTGCAAATTAATTTGGATCATATCTTAAGATATACAAGTTCGTTCTGCTGCCTGCATGATATAAATGAATATGAGCAAGAAATGCATAGCTGAGAACATTGTATGAACCAAGTTCAAAGAGGGGAAACTATACGCAAAAATTCATTTTCCTTTTTGATTTTCAGGATCTGCTACAATATACTCACCGTTAACATCCATGTAGCATTTTCTACTTCCACAGGATTAGATTTGACATAGCGATGGTTAAATGTGCATCCTGAATGCATATCAACCCTGTGGTCATCCCGTAAATGAGCAACGAGATATGGAATATCCCCAACAACAGAACAGTCTGACCCAGCATAGGGGCAGTTGTATGGTCTGAAGTTACAAACAGACTCGTGTTTGAGTTTGCTATAATAGGGAAATATCTCTGGACAGCCAAGTGAGCCGTATCTGCAAGGCAGTTCAAGTGATTCTGCTATTTTCTCCAGCGCCAGACACCTTATATCCCCTAGTTCCTGTCTACAGGTTGGACATCGATTGTGTACCCTTGTCTTACAAGTTGAACAAAGTGTATGCCCATTGTGACACTGCGGAAAAAATTTTGATCAAATATCAGTGACTGCATTATGGACATCCTTGATCCCATTTATCAATCTATAGGCATCGTTATAAGAACCATAAAACATAGTTTTAAAGATAACTTTTCTCCCTTTTCTGGATAGTTTTAAGTATCATTTTTACTTTTTCTGAAGCGGGCATGAGCTTTAAGTATACTCCAAAACTCACATCACTTCTTACAATACGAGAAAAAACTGACAGGAATGCACCATCAGTTGCTCATATGGACTTCAGCACACTATAAGTTAAAGAAATAACCAGAATGTTAACACACTTTAAGCTAGAGTAATAACCAGAAGCTGATTCACAACGTTGGATTCAGAACTTTGGCATTATAACCCCCTCAACGTCCACATTCTTATATCTAGCTTCACGCTCTGTACACTCCAATGTAATATTAAGCCTAACCTGGGCATGAACTATGAAGCAGGGAGCTGAAGGCCCATGTTATAGCCGCTAATTGCTGTCTCCAAAGAACCTAAGTCACAGAAAGGTACTTACCCATCACTTATAACTCACAAGATCACGACTCAACACAAGCGTGAGGTCAAGAATATTAATACATCTTGCCCATTAAACAGTAAAACCAATCAATTTTTAATCCCTTATAAGCCACCCATGGTAAACCCTTGGAATAAACCTTCTTCCTCCACTCTTTTGCAAAGTAATGTGAATACGATTGGGTTGAAGAGAGGTAAGCCTCTGCCATGAAATTGAGGTTTCTAAGTGAAGCACTCATCTGGCAGTACCAAAGGGATAATGGAACTCGCGAAATTCCACAGATCTGGATGAATGGGAAATGTTCTTTAGGACTGAAACTTTTCCCATTACTAACCATATAACTTTACCTTATCCCCGGAACATTGAAGTCGTGCAGGAAGCAAAAATCAAATTAAGGATCTTACTTCAACCAACCACAGGTATTCAAAAGAATCAAATTTTTAAAACTGAAATACCAGCAAACACAAGTTTTAATTGCGAATTCCCTCCATCACAAATACCTAAGATTTCCAATGCAACCATGATCCAAAAATGCTAAGCTCACAGTTAACATAAAAGAAAATTTATAAAACTGCTATATACATAACCTAAAAAAATACACTAGCAAATAAGATGGTAACCACACAAATCGCATAAATGGAACACAGAAAGCAACAAAGTATCAAGTCAACAGAAATAAACAGCAGGATCGGAGGAACCCTTTGATGCAGATGGATTAAATAGAAGACCTGATGGATTGGAGGATACATTGAACTGGTGCAAACAGGGCATTCAAGCAGCTCGTGGACACTGGTAGTACCAGGACCATTGTTATGCAGCTTCGTGATCGAAGAAAACTGATGGGGAATATGCTCATCATCATCCATAGTCAAGGATGATACAGTACTATCAAGGCTACTGGATTCCATTCTATCACCTAAAAACATATGATCAGTTCGATCGTGGGTATAACTCCCCCGAATCGCCCAGCCAATTCAAACACCAGAGGACCAAAAAACGATATCAAGAAGAAAATCGAAGTGGGTCCGAGAGCTCGCGATACTTGAGGAAAGAACGCGAATTTAGAAGATGCCCGGGGGGGGGGGGGGATTTTTTAAACTGATTGATTTAAAAAAAAAAAAAACCAAATAGGATGCTTTTCTTCTTGGGTTCTCCCAGCACCCGAACAGGGGTTTCCAAATTCAAGGGATTTGAGTAAAAGCAGAGAGGGCAAGGTTAGAGAGAGAGAGAGAGATTCAATAGGGAGAGAGCGGAAGCAAGGGAGGGAGGAAGGGAGGGAGGCAATTATTATTGGGATTGGCACCCATAGGAGCAATAAGAGCAGTGATTTATTAGTGGGACAGGTAGATGATGGAGTTTTATACTTTTACTATTATTACAGTGATAATAAGTGGAGGAATAACTTATTTAATTAAAAATTAATTGCCTAACACTAAAAAACAAAGATGCCAATTAACTGCATTTTTTTTTTCCGGCGACAAAGATGCCAATTAACTGGATTTGGTTCCGAACTTCTGCGATAGATTTTCCACCTTAAAACTCATAAGCATAGCCTTCGCTCGACGGCACGGCTACTCCTGAAGAGCGGGCATGGTTTCCCCCCCCCCCCCCAATTTGAGTGTCATTAAACATAAATACTTCTAAAAAATTATATTAAAAAGATAGCTTTTTATTATAGTACGAAGTTTTTGTTTTTGCCACTACTTTTAAAATTTGAACTTTAGATCCACTAACAAGTTCATTTATGTATTTTCTTATTTTTGATAGTTTGATTTAAAGTTACTAAATAAATATATTTTTAATATATTTTTTCATTTCTCCCAACATTTCTTTTCAAATTATCCTTCTATTTGAATATGATAAGTTTTGTAAAATAAAATAACTTTATAGTAATTGAAGAGACATGATTGTAAAAGAAAAAGAATCCCCTCTTTCTTGATCTTATACAGCAACATCTCAGAAGCAAACATGTAGAAGAAAATAGAAATGAACAAATCTTTTGATCAATTTCAATTTATTTGGAAAAGAAAATTAGGCCATTAATAATTAATTATTTAATTGCAACTAAAAAATGATTAGATAGAATAAACTAATTAGTAGCCCAACATTGTCCCTCAGAATAGGATTTAAATGTTTAATTAGCATAACTAGCTTGCTAATTAGTGCTCCAAACTTGATCCAAGCCAAAGCGTAGGTCAAAATGATCGGCTTATTGACTTTGAATTGGTATATATGTAACTCAATTCAAACTTTTATTTAATGAAATGTCATCAATTTTAACATTCTTCCATTTTTTTTATTTGACCAGAGACATTCTTCCATTTATCATAATGCTCAAGACTATTTCCAAATGGTCATCGGGATTTTCAATCAACTTATTATGTAAAAATAGAAAGAATTATAACTGTTATATCACAATACATTTACTATTTGTTTATTGATGCCACCATCAATTTGTTTTTCTTTTCTTTTTTACAGTTAATTTACTTTTTTTTGAATTTTGTATGATTTTATAAAATTTGCTTATAGAATTTCAATTTTTTCCTATGTTCACTTGACTACATTGTTTTAAATTTTAATCATTTTTATGGGTCAATTTTAGAATACTCAATCCATCATTATTTTAATTAGGATCTATTAACTGTTTTATATAAATTAAGAAAACTGATTAAAATTAGTTGTGTCAAAAATTTGTATAAGTTTGTTACAATTATTCATAATTAAGTTAGAGATTGAAAAAATTAATAAAATCACATGTTCATAAATCACAATCATAAACATTCACTCTCATGTCGGCCTCTTAATTTATATCCATGAGAACAAAAGAAAATATATTATAACTAATTTTAAGAGTTACTCCTCCGATCCTTATTATAGGACTTAATTTTTAAGTTAATTTTAGTCCTAAATATAAGACTTATTTCTCATATTTATCAATTTTTCCTAAATTACTCCTATGGATACTCCTTTAACTATAACTAAGTAAGTGAGGGAGGGATAATATTAAGAAAAATGATTATGGTGTTTTAGGAAGAACATGTCATATTTCTTATAATTAACTAACTTACCTAACTACCTTAATATAATCAAATTAGTTAAATATATTTTATATTAAGGACAGGAGGTCGGAAGAGTACATTTTAATACAAAAAAAAAATTAACTATCAACATCCTCAACATCAAGCAAGCAAAATTTAATACTATCTCTAGTTCTTAATATAAAGATTATTTAACTAATTTGTATAAACTAAGAAAATTAATTATATTAGTTATTTGTAACAAATATAAGTTGATTTATCTAAAGTAATTTTTTAATTATGATTATTAGTCTTAGATGAAAACCGCTATAATATATGTAATTAATAATGATACTTTAGAGAATGAATTATAAATTTAAAAAACAAAGTGAACTGAAATATTATATTTAGGACTAAATTCAATTATTAACTAGCTTTTATATTAAAAAATAAAGGTAGTAGTTAAAAATTCAGACCTTTTCACACTTACTACGTCTTATATACAAGTAACGGCATAATATTCTTGGTACATGTGATTCTTCAACAACGTACCTTGTCTGAGGTGAATGAATTCTTCTTATCTAGCATTTCTCGTAAAATTTGTTCCCTTAAATATAAAATCAATAAGGATAATATATTAAAATTAGATCACATGAATTAAGGATTAATCTTCTTCATGTGCAGGCATATGATCTCAACAGTAAGAGAGGTTTGCGACAAAAAACATAGGCATCAGATATGACTTGGAATCAACGTTACTTGAGAGCCAAAAATCAGGACACAAGAGTACGAAAGATTCTATAATATAAAATCATCTACTTTCGGCTCTCGAGGCAACGAACTTCCCAAAGTAATAACAAACAAATACCCTTGTGAGCCACCACAAGTGATCCCCAAAACCACCAAAAGCTTCAGTATGGTGCCAACGGGCAAGGGCATATCACTATTTCCCTATTTACTCTCCACCATTCTCTTCATTTTTGTTCGCATCAAACATTATCCTGCTAGATAAGACTAGTTACAATTTCTTCATCGATCCATATAATAAAGATTTGACAAAGTTTTAAATTGATTGTTGAAAATCTAACACAACCCTCCTCTTTTATTCCTCCTTCATTCCAGTTTGGGATTAGCTATAATATATAGGAGGAGTTACAATTAAGTCCTAGAAAGGATTTAATTACACTGAAGTCCATTGATAACTGAAGAGCATGTAACGACAAGTTTCAGAGTAAAAAATAATAACAAGTTCATGATAGTCATTTGTCATTGAAACTTCTTGGTAATTAAATTTCTTTCTTAGGACCTTACGATAATTCTCCCTAAAATCTAGGTGGAGTTGTTTGGTAATGTAATAGATTAAGTTAAGATTTAGAAAAGAACACACATAAAGTATTGGAATTAGGAGATGAAGTCAGACTACAAAATGAAGTGAATTTCAAAAAGTTTTGGCTTAAAGTGATCATACATCAGGTAAATTTTGAGATCTGCACAAAAGAGAAATAAAAGTGAGAATAGTGAAACCCACTCATAAGCCTTCTTTATCTTCTTGCACTCTTCTACTAGAGTCCCTTATTCAAAAGAGAATCCTAACTTGATTGTATGATTGGCTAGCATCCATCTGACGGTGGGATAGGGGAAGCAATTTAGCACTAACTGAACTCATCAAGTCCACCACCACCAGTACAGTTGGGATGCTTATAAATGTGGGATAAACTAGGTGAGAAGCCCTTATGTTATCATTTAATTTAAGTACTCTTGGCACTGCTAAAAGCACCGCCCCAAGAATTTCTCAGTTCAAGCTACATTTACTAATTTGTCATTTAACATGGCTGAATTAATCAGATTTCTTTTCTTTTCTTTTTTTCGCCCCTTAGATTAGTTAAAGAGACTTGGCATTTTGCAGGTGTAAAGTTTGATTTTCCTCTTGCTAATTTTTCCTCATAGGTATCAACAAAGGCATCTCAATCTCCGTTCATTCTAAAGATGGGCAAAGTAAGCCAAGACTCACAAGAGCCTCAACTCTTGTCAAATGGCAGTTTGAGGTTCAAAGAGTTTCCCTAAAGGCACAATATGATATCAAAGTATAATTTTGTAACTCGATACAATTAGTCCAAATCGTAGTCATCTAGCACTGGCACCTATTATGTACAAAAGGTTCTTACAAAAATTGTGGAAATATGCTGAGAAAATATCACACCAACTAGCCCCAGAATGGCTTATCTTATTCCTTGGTGAGCCAAAACCAATCTCTAAAGTGGAATGAATGTACAGATAAGTAGTTGCATAAATGAGTAAATTTCCTTAATCCAACAAGGCAAGGTTTTACTTGACGTATCCGACCCTGACTTTTGACTACAAGTAATCCTACATGCTCAAATTGAACCCAATCTACCATTGGTTCGGGAAGGCCTCTCTGTATTTTGCATCCTCACTAGCATCGTGCTGCCTAGTGGTAGCATCCCTAGCCCGCGAACTCAGAAGCTTCCCGGCTATTCTGTCTTTTGATGTTACTTTCTTTCGAAGCATGGATGCAAGAATTCTCTTGTTGTCTCTGGAAGATAAATTCCCTTCATTAGTCACATCCCCATCTTGTCCAAGCGATGCAGATCTGGAAGTAGAAGCCAAAGCGGCATTGCGTAAAACTGATTTGTTGTGTTCCCGAATTTTGGCAAGTTTTGCACGCTTCATCGTCTGTTTATCAATTTTTCGCTTCTTTGCCACCTCTTCATCTATTTCACGAACATTCTTCACTGCTTGTTTAGCCAAGTGCTCCGCTAGATCAATCCCCAAATCAACATTTACCTTGTGTTCGGATGTGCTCTGATTGAGTGGCTTTCCTCCATCATCCATCTTGTGTTCAGATGTGCTCTGATTGAGTGGTTTTCCTTTATCATCTATCTTGTGTTCGGATGTGCTCTGATTGAGCGGCTTCCCTTCATCATCCCGAGGAAGGATAGGTCCATGAAATGGACAAACTCTCAAGTCTCTTCTCTGACATAGCCCTCCTTTCCTCAAAGGAGCACGACATGGTTGGATCTCCTCTTGCTTCTCTTCATAAAGTGCAGCATGAACATTCAATTCAGCAATTTTATCAGCTGGGATAACAGCATCAGAGTCCACCCTCCCCCAATGATTTTCAAGTTCCAATCCACGCTGGTTAGCCATAAAAACCCTGCTTGAACCCCAATCATCCAAGTGAGAACTCCACCTTACCACAGGAGCTTCAGCCAGAAGTTCGCTCCTTGGAGAGTTT